TAATTAATACTTTAGATAAAACAATAATGTGTATTTTTTTTTATATAAAAAAAACATTATACCTTATGTTTTAATTAAAACATTTCACACATTTTTCAAATTAGCATATAATATTTCTTATAACAATATTTTTTCAGGTTAAAAAAATGCTATTTATAAATATTAAATAAGTTACTAATATAAAATTTTTATTTATTGTTTTCTTTTTTGTTATATAGTTAAAAAAATGGATATATTTATACCTAGATAGACACTACCAAGTAAATTTAATTATAATATTTAAATTTTACACTATAAGTGAATCTGAGGAAAAAAACATATTTTATTCTTACTTTTTCTATAACATTATATATCAGATCCTCATTGCAATATTCTGATGATTCTATTGTATGAATATGGTAGTATATTTTTATTTTTCTATAGTATAAATGTTTTATTTGTAAGCATCAATAATTGTGTACATGTAACATACGTTTAAATGAATGAAACAATGATGTGTTAAATTAATTCCATAATAAATCATATGATATTTTCAGAATTAAAAATAATGTAGTATTTTGAAATTTTTCATTGTATCAGGATAGTACATTTTATGTCATTATTATTATAAAAAAATTTATAACACTAAATAACTATATAAAATTAAGAAGACATAAATATAATAACAGTAATTTATATCCATACTTTATATATAATAATTTTTGTAATAGTATTGCCTATATTTCTGCACATATGAAACCTTATATTAAATAATAATAATCTGTTATATTTATAAAATTTATTTCCTTTTATAAAACAAAATAATAAATTATGATAGTTCTTATGATATTTAGGAAATAATATTCTTTTTAATTTTCAATTGGAATTAGAAAGAATCATAAAATTATGAATCGTTTTCCTATTTCGTAAGAATAAAGGTAATACTGTTTGTTAAATAAAAGACAATTAATTGTATGGAATTTTTAACATGTCTATTTTAATAAACTAAAAGAAATTTTTTTTAATAATTTATAATTAGTATAAATATATGATAATAAGTATTTAAGAGGTTAATATAATTATAAATATAAAAATTGTAAAGTAAAATAATACAGCGTAGCTTTGAGGTAATATAATCCAAAGAAGAAATTTAATTTTTTACAAATTCAAAGAAATCATGCACAATTTTCATATAAAATGAGTAATCAATTTCATTAATTATTTATTATATCTTAAAGTAAAAATAAAAATATTCACTCTCAATACATTTAATTTCTTAATTCACATATTTATTGCAGATATTTTCTATAAATGTTATGAAAATGTTTATTTCCACAACATTTTAATGTATATGAATATTAATAAAATTATACAATTGCTGTTTATACAGAAAAAAAATAAATATTGTTTATTTTAAATATATATGGCCATATTTTAATTTAGTCAAGAAATCATTACATTGATCTATATATATATAAAATATTTTACTAAAATTATAATAAAATAAAAGGAAATTTTCTAAAAAGATATAAATTTTATTACGAAAAATAATGTGAATACATAATAATACATTTATTTTAGCACATATCGTTTTCCTATTGATACATACATAAATGTATATAAACAGAAATTATGACAATGTATAAATATGAACTTCACATTTCTGTTATATCATTTGTACAATAAACAAAAAATATCAAAAGAACCTTAATAATATAAATATTTTGGACGATGTAAATTTACATAAATTTATATTTTATAAGAGTAGGAATAGAAAATAATATCAAAATTCTAAATCAAATTTATAAATATAGATAAGTCAAATTCCTCATTGACACTTTTCTTAAATGTTGTCTATTTATAGTAATCAAGGAAATGTTATTACCTATATTCCATGATATGAATAACCATATCCATAACATTTATATAGGAAATATCTTTACGAAAATTTAAAGATATTTTCCATTAATATTTCCTTCCTGTTATTTACATATGACATTTGGATGTCTCCATAATAATTCAAATATTTACGAGTAAGATATTTAGCACTCTAATAAATATAATTTGCAATTATCTAAATTCTTGTGACCATATTTTGCAAAATGTGGGCTATTACCTTTTTCGTGGAGAATGAATAACATGAAATTTTCCGTAATATATATTTGTTATTGGAATATGATCTCTTTTGTATTCTATTCATTTGACGTAGTTAATGTAAATAAAATATTGTTTAAGTCATATTTTCCACGTATTATTTTTACAATAATAATATTTTGTTAAAACTATATACATTTTACATAATTTATCATGCTACATTATATATCATATTATTTTTAAGCTTCCTTTTACAACATAAAATTAATTTTAGATATCTTATTAATCTCATTTATGAAAAAAATAATATGATAATAATATGTATTATAAATTAAGATTATATATTTATGATCACAAAAAATAAAAATGTTCATTGTTTATGCAATAGGATATATAAATTATTGTTGTAATTCACATTCAATATGTAACATTTGATGTTTGGTGAAAATATAATTATAATAAATATATTCAGCATACACCAAAAATATATATAGTAATGGTTAAATAATAATATATTGAAAATAGTCACAGTTTAAAAATGTATATATGAACATTATAAAATAGAATTTGTGTTTAACAGCTCAATCTACTATTATTTTATAAATCTGTGTACTGTTTGATAAAAAACATAAACAATCATTGGAAATATTAAAAGTACATAATTATTATGTATAAAAATAATTCTATTTTTGTAATAAACTATTATATATATGATAATTTTGTGTCAAAATTCTTATGAAATAATATTTATAATAAAAAAAAACAGATGATTTATATATATAAAAATGGGCACATATGTTAATAGTATAAAATTATGTTGTATAGTAAATTGATGTTAAATAATATATAATACATAAAATTCCTTACATAATTCATATGTATTTACATATATTTCATGCTAATAAATGAAATAAACTATACTATGTTCTATTAATTTTTGTATAATAATAGTAAAATTAAGAGAATTTGAAAATATAAATTTAAACCATTAACATTAAACATGAATGTGAAAAAATAAAATCGGAATATAATTCACATAAAAAAAAGTTAAAAATATGACTATAAATTACAAATATAATAATTAGTGGATTAATTATTATAAAATTATAAATTTAGGTCATTAATAATTATTTTATGGTTTTTAATACATCATTTTTATATTTTCATAAATTTCTTAATAGAAAAGCATATATATTAATTTTTCTCCATCATATATTATGCTAATCATCATATTTTTTTGTTTTCTTTCTATTAAAAAAAATATACTTTTTCTAGTTATAGAATATTTAAGTATACAATAGGAAAATATTCTAAAATTTGTCATTATAAATAAATATAAAAAAAAAAAAAATCATAATAGTGAATAACAATGTGTTTTCTTTACAAGGATATATAAAAGTATATGGTAATTATTACATTAAATACGTCATTTAGAGAATGAATAATAATTAATATAGGATGTAATGTATTAATATAATATTATTTATATATAATATAAAAAAAATAAATACATCCAAATAATTTATTGAGTTTTTTTCCCCTTTTGACTCTTAGTGTTGTATAATAATATTTATAAATAGATTAATATGTATCAGTAGAAAATAAAATAGGTCTTCTTTTTGATTAGAAAATAATAAATTATATGTTTCATAAATAATAAAAGTATATGAATTATGTATTTATTTTTCATTTTATATAATTTTTCCTAATATATAACTATAATATTTAGTATAAAAATTAATGTATTGATTTCTTTTAATGAAAATAAAAATTATAGTAATAAATAAATTTACATATATTACACTATTATGCGCATAAATATTATGTTGTGTCTTATAGAATACACTTTTATTTATTTTATATTTTACATAAAATTATAAATAATAAAAAAATTATGATAAAAATATGAAATATGAATAATTAGATTAATGAAGACTTATATGTATCATATTATTTTATTACAACGTAAATGTAGTTTTATTCTGTACAGAAAGGGTTATTTTTACATTTTTGCTATTTATAGAATAAAGCATTCTAGGTATTTAAAAAAATAGAAACACAAAAAATATATAATTTTTTATTATATCTTGTACTTCTGTAAATATAAAGCAATACCTAATATTCATTATCCATAATGCATTTGTGTAAAGATATTTCGACAATTATAATTTTCCTGAAATAATACATTATTGCATTTGTATAGATATAAGTTCTTTTTATGTATTTTAAATTTTTCTTATCTAACAATAACTCTACATTACATGTACTATAATATGTAGGAAGGATGTATATATATTTTATATTTATACTATTAAAAAGTTGCACATATAATGCTGTAAATGATTAAATTAGAAAATATCTGTTGAATTATTTAACAATAATTTTATTAATTATTTTATTATTACACTATACATACACTCAATTTTATGGTGTCTAATACAACAATTTTATTAGCATATATCAATAATTCATAAGTTATAATAAATTACTAATTTATATATATTTTTTAAATTTATGCAAAAAAGAATCATATATATCATATTAATTGTTTAATTCCTTAATAATTGAAGAACACTTAAATCATATATGCATTTCAGAATAAAAATAAAAATTATATTCTTTCGCATAATTTAAATATATAAATATTTACATATTTATATTCGCTATTTTTTTCTTAAAATATATATTTGTTAGAACAGAATATTGTATGGGTATTAAAAATTTTATATATATTATTTATAGCTCCTCTCTCAAAGATTTAATCATATGTATTTATCATTAATAATTAATAATACTTTTTTAAATATTTATACAAATATGAAACTATAATTCATTCTTTATAATAAAATAAATATTGAGTCTTTTATTTTTAGCATTAATCTATATATATATTATATGTTTATATAAATCACAGTAAAATTAGTAATATGATAAATTTCTATTGTTCATACATAGAAATTCTCGTATATAGTAAGTATGTGTTATTCATAAAAGAATCTATTATATATTAATTGTAGAAACAATTAATTATTGGAAATGAGGTCATTTTATTTTATTTATAGTAAACATTTATAATTATTATTATTTCCTTCTATTATAAAATGCGATATATCTACTTTATGGTATATTTTCAACATATTCCCCAGGAAACGAATATGGATAACCTACCTTCAAATAAATATATAAATAAATTACTTCAAAGCGCGAATATCAATGATTTATTATCTAAAACTAATTCAAGAAATTCTTCGGATGTAGTAGAATGGATACAAAAATATTATTCAGACGTTATAATTTCTTATAATGAAATAAGAAAAGAGTGCATTATAGATTCCAAGAATCAAAAATGTTGTAGAGATGTTAATTATTACTTAGATTTTGTAAAATCAATAATAAAATTATCAAATTTTAATAGTGGAGCAAATATAGACATGATAGCTATGCTTGAAGAACAATGGAATAATAAACTTAGCGCTTCTGATTATAAGTGCGAAAGAGGAAAATCAGTTGAATCTACTCTAAGAAGATGTATACTAAAACAAATTTATGATTTTAAAGATGATATTAGTTACTTAGATAATAAAACATATTCACATACTATGTATGATGAATACCTTAACAAGAAATGGAATAAAATATATGAATATATAAAAACTAGTATTGGTAATAAAAAGGCAATTATTTCTAATGAAAGAAAATCCGAATCTATATTAGTTGATGCTTTTCCTTTGAATTATAATTTTCTAAATTCTTTAAAAATGGATATTAAAGAAAATATTAATATCAAAATTTCTGAGGAAAATGAAGTGATCAAGGAATTGAAAAGAATGTTATCCTCATCAATTGAAGCAAAAATTACGATACCTTCGGAAAGTAGTTCTACAGAACAAATGTCTTATGTTGAAACACATAGTATATACAATAATATATTTTCAGCTAAAAAGTTACTCATTATAAGTTTCATTTTTTTCGGATATATTACGATAAATATAATGTTATACAAAGTAATAAAATATATATCTATAAATAAAATTTAAGAGCAGATTTTATGATTAATACTCATGGTAAAATAATTAGTAATGAACTTTTTTTTTAATATATTTTTTATTATTACCTTATTTTAATAGTTCACCCTGTTAGGAACATGGATAAATAATAGAATAAAATGTAATAAATTCATACAAAAATATATTTGTAAAAATAAAACAGAATCATTATTATCGAAAAATGATTACAACAAATTAAATATTGCTTACAAATCTTTTGACAGCTATTATGAAAATAGCATTTGAATTATAATAATATGCCTGAAACACTAAAATTAAACGCGAACTTAATAATATAAATATATATGAAATTGAAAGTTACAAAAATAATATAGGTATAATATTAGGGTAAAAATTATAAATTTCTATTTTAATATGTTTGTGTTATGTTTGATATTATATAAAGAGGTATACTGTAAATATTAAGAAAAATACAGAATTAATTCGTATATACCTATATCATCAAATCATTGAGAAATTTAAACCAAATATGAATCTCAAGAAAAATAAAATGTATAATATACATTTATAAAATATATATACAAACACTAAAATATACCTATATATAATAACAAAATGACTTAGGAATATTATATACATTTGTAGGAAGTAATATCTAAAAAAAACATATATCATTAAACCTTATAGCTCTTTGAATAATAACGAAATATATTGTACTTATATGACATTTTTTGAATTTTAAAGAATATGTATTTATATAGATGGCTGTTATTAATATGACATTTTTATATTTTAGTATTTTGAAACACTAATATAATAGTTTTTGTTGTTTTTGCATATTTTTCATTTTTATTCTCATATGATTTATCAAAAGGAATAATATTTATGTTCTTATATATATAATAAATATTAGGATGAAATGTTAATTTTGCATTTAATTTATTATGATACAATAATAGCTTTCTAAGGACTAAAGGAAATATTTCCTATACATATTAACATCTTTTTGTGTATTTTGTTTGCATATATTCAGATGTATGTTTCGGAACGTCATAATTTTACTTATTTTTAGTTTTAACATTATTATGTATATATTTATGTTAAATATTTTACTTTTTAATTTAGATTCAGTAAATATATTTGAATCTCTTAGTGTTATTATTAATATTTTTAATGAATATATGTTATTTAAGCACGAAAATTAATGCATTATGTGTGCATTTATAAAATTGACAAAGATATTAAAAATATAGAACACATTATATAATTTTAGACATACTTTCTACATTATTCATTATTACTTCTTATACATATATAATTGGTTATATAAATGTAAGAAAAGGAAGGAAACCCAATAATTATATCAGTATCTAGGTGCCATTAGGGTATATTTAAAATTATATAATATTATGATATTTATATATAAAGTCAATGAATTGTTCTTTTAATATTAAAATTTCATTATAAATGTTTATAGCACATAAATATGCAACATAAGATGGAGCACTGTTTTATATAATATATGTTGTATATTTATAAACTTTATGCCTTTTAATGAGCGTTATGTAATATATATTTATTAATTTATATTTTATTTCTTTTTCCATTAGGAATTTAAATAATTGAACTTATAATATTTTGGTATTATAAGCGTATTTAAAATAAATAGATAAAATTTCTATTTTCTTTTTTTTTTTTCAAAATATATGAGCACAATATTTGATATATGTAGTTGTATTTTACTAGATCCATATATTATATTAATAATATAACATGAACTCTTATTTCAGTAGCAATATTTACTTGCATAAATGTATAAGTAAGAAAATCATAAAAAAAAAATAAGGTAAAAGGAAAAAAAAGTATGCATACATTTAAAACTATGTAAAATACATGTTATAAATAAAATAATATCGCTTATAGCGTTATATATATCACCAATGATGAAGTAGTATAATATTCTCTACATATCTGAAAATAAACGTTGTGAATTAAATAAATGAACGAACAATTTTAAATATATATATTTCTAAAAATTAATGCAAATTTTCTTATTTGATGCAATAAATTCTATTCATAACTATATCTTGAAACGTAATTCCTTCATACATTATTATTTATAATATATAAGTTTTGACTATTAAAATTGATTTGCCAGTGTTTAATGATAACATCAGAAATATATTAAAGAAGGTTCAACGTATTTATATATATATTTATAAAAATATTAATAAAAATTATATATATATAAATTTAATAAAGTATTAAATTAGTAAACCAAAAAAATATAGGAACATTCTTGCATCTTTTTACGGCAAAAATAAATTTAGATAAAATTTTTCAAAGTTATAATTGTATTTATTTTTAGCTAAAATTATATTTTCCTTTTATTAATATAGTTTCATGTAGGACTCTTAGCAATTTCTGAACTTATTTTATACAAATTCTCAGATATACATAGTTGCACATATTCTAGCAAATAATTCACAACATGCTTAAAAAAATATTACAATTTTATTCAACCTTTCAAGCATTTATAATAAGGACCTTAGCAGAGTGAAATAATAATAAAGAAAATTAATAAATATTATTATATTTTCTTTATCAAAACAAAAATTATATATATTTTATAAAGTATTATATATAATTGGTATAATTCAAAGTAAATCTATGTGTAACTACATACATACAAAATTATAGTAAATTCTCCTCTCTTCTATGAAAAGCATTCAATAAGGATTAATAAATAAATTTTTCTTTATCATTGTATATAAATATGTGTAAACCTATAGAGGTATGTTAACATTTTTTTTATACAATATGTTTCATTTATGCAAGCAATATTTTATATTATGCTATAATTTTACTATATTTTAATAGAATCCGATGTTATATGATTTTTCCACTTCTTTGTTAAATATTTGTTATATATATTACTAATATAAAAAAATACTTTCTGTATTTATTTGGAGTTCTATTTTTTTTTTTAATTTCAATAAAATTATTTTCTTTTTCACAACTATACCTGTGATATTAACAACATTCTATAGTATATTTAATTTATTAACAAGTTGTCTATTTATATATATATTGTTTTAATGTTTCAAAAATAACTTTTTTTATGAAATTATTGTACATTATTAATATATTTTATTATTTTACAAATGAAATATATATATTTACTTTTTTACTGTAGTTAGTGAAAATAGCAAGTGTATACAGGATATACGCTCGCATTTATTTAATTCATGTTATTATTTACAAAATACTAAGATATCTTTTTAATATTTAAAAAAAATGCATGCTAAAACTGTGTATTTTATGAATATTTACAACATATTTATATATGTATATACATAATCCATTTTTATACATATGTTCAGAAATAACCATTTCGATCAATGTAAGATGAAAAAAAGATATTAATAAATAAAAAAAAAAATCATAGTTATTATTAAAATCATGTAAGTTCAGTTATGAAATATAATGTACTCACATGCTTACACAATAATTTTAATCCATCAGCATGTAAATATTTTATACATATATATGCATGAGTAATAGACATGAGTTCTTAGGAAATTATATATCAAATGCTATTCATGTGTACCCTTAATATAGTTTTGATCTTAATATATATATTAGATCACATAAATATACATTAATACTATGTTTCTAATTGCTGTTGATATCACATAAAGGCTCATATATTAAAAATGTTTATTAATAAATAAGATTAATAAATGCAAAATTTACGTTTTGTATATGTTGTGTGTTTTACAGAATGAAGGGATTTCGTATTTTTCTCATGTAGATAATAAAATCTTGTTATGGATCTTATTTTATTTAGAAATAAACTTTAATGAAATTTTGAATTTTTTTTCTAAATGTTCTTCTTTTACTATATATTTATTATAAATTTGTATATATAAAACTTAAATAAGATATAAGTAATTATGAAAGAAATCGTGATAATTAATATTGATTACATATAATATATCATTATGGAAAAGAGCATTGTACTATACTCTGGTGAATTATATCTCTTTTAAGGGAAAATTATATAAAGCTCTGAAACTATTAAGTAATTCTTAATATTTTAAAAAATTACATAACCGTTGAATACTCGTAATGAAATAAGTGATATATTTATCCAATACATTAAAACATTAAAACAACATTTTAAGTATTTTATTCAAGGATTTATTTAACCGCTGTTAATGTTACGTTTCTTTTTTTATATAAGGTATTTAATTGAGTTAAATCAGAAACCTACTTAGAAAATAGTAAAAATTATTCTATGCTTCCATAATTTAAATATTTTGTAAATTACAAAAGAATAATATATATGAGACATAAAATATATGAGAGATAATTTGTCTAAAATTGTGGACGATATATATAAGGTATAGTATGATTTTTATATGTCTGTAATTAGCTTCAATATACTCGAATTTCCGAGTGCACTTTTATGTTAACATTTTAATTAAACGATTAAAAATTATAACAATATTATAAATAATTATGAAATAAATGATAGTTCCTTTAATTTAAAAAACAATATGATCTAATATATATAATTCATAATAATACACGGAAACTTGGGTATAATTTCTATTGGCAGATAATAAATTTATGACCAAATTTTAATTCTAAGTATATTCACAAAAATCGAATATACTGGAATAAAAAGCACATTTACCTTAACATTCTAGAATTTTCCATACCACGTTTGGAGAAAGCATTTCTACTGATATTATCAGTAAAAAAGTTTTCATGCTAATAACATATATTGTTGCAATTGTAGTAACAAAACTTTGATATGTTTGTAAGGTAAATGGAAATTTTACTTATGCTTTTTTAATTTATGTGAATAATTTCATAATATTATTAAACAAAAAATTACAATATCAATAAATTATTCTTATGAATTGATTATAACATTTTTTAATATTGTATAACAGAATTCAGAAATTATTTACACCTTCCTATTAAAAGAAAGATAAGAAATCCGTGAGATATGAATAACTAAGTGTATTATTTTGAGATATTAATGCAAAAATAAGCCTAAAATTTTGGATGACATAAGGAATTTTTATATGAGATATACTTCATTTGTTTTTTATGTTTATGTTCTCGCTTTAGTAAAATTTTTTTTTTTACAAACTTAAATATATGTAAGAATGTGTTTCTGTTTCTAAAATTTTCTGATTCTGTAATAACTACGAATAAATTATATATATATATATATATTTCTAAACACTTTCTCTTATTATGAAATGGATAATTCATTAATATGGAGCACAACATATATACGCATATATAGTTGTTCTATATTTTTATTGCTAAAAATTAAACATATATATTTATCTTTGCATTTTTATATATTTTGTATTAGCTAGAATATCGTAATGCTTAATATATTATAATTAATAAGTATATAATGAAAAATATAATAAATTATGTTTTCTATTATCTTTATATTTTGTATAATATTTTTCTCGCATATACCTCAGTTAATATATTCCTTGCTTCGAATTTACTTTTTTAATTTTATTTGAGTGTGTAAAAAGATGACGTACGTAATTATATTATAAACAGAATGTGTTATATATTCATAAATAAAACATTATTTTAATAATAAAATTTATGTATGCCTTTCATATATTTTCTATTATAATATCTTTTGTTACAAAATAAATATTAACCTTATCATGCATGACTAAAATAATGCGTAAGGCAAATATTACACAAGCATAGGTTATAAATTAAGTAAAGATATTTATTGAATCACTATTTGCATTATGAATAAAATAAGTGAAACAAATTAAATGAACATAGGAAAATTTATTGTGCATGTACACGAACAATGGAATTAATAATTAAATATATTTCCAAATGCTATAAGTGTACTTCCTCTGTATATATATATTTTTTAATTTTTACAAATCAAAATAATTATCTTTAAAAAGTTTAATCATGTCATAATATTTACAAGAACAAGTTTCATAAAAAACCTATATAATTATATAATGATACTTTTTTTACTATCATCAATGTGATAAGAACAAAGGAAAAATATATTTTTTTAGAACAATTTCCTTAATTGAAAATCATGTCCAAATTCACATCATGAAGAAATTCTATGTTCGTGTTTGAGTATTCATCCTTCTTAAATTCATTTATTAAAAATTCATGATTTTAATTAAAGATTCATAAAGATAATATTCCAAAGGACTAATTATACAAGATAATATTGTCTCACCAATTAAGAATAATAGAAAGTAAAATATCTAAGCAGAAATTAATGTAAAAAATTTCTATATAGACACTTTATTACAATGATCATTAATACATGTTATGTCTAGATTTTTCTAAAGAATGAAATGGTATAAATCTAAAAACTCAAAATATTATTGCTTATTTGTTAGTATTCTTGTGACTAATGTATAAGGTTATATCATTCTAACATTATATAAATATGTTTAAAAATTATATAATCTAAATTATATAAATATAGTTATTTAAAAATAAATGAATACACATTTTTATAGGTAAATGTTAATTTCATTAAGTTAATTCTTTATTCTAATTGAAGATTAATGCAAGCATGAAATGTATATAAATATAAAAAAAAATGTAAAGTTTAAATGAAAATACATTTCAGAGTAATTACTATTCAGTTTTTATAAGAAATCCCTATATTCCTTCTACAAATGTAAAAAAATTTTATTCATTCATAGTTATGTACTTAAGAAACTAAATAAGTATATAATTAATATGAATTAAAAATGATATACAAGGATAATTTTTATCTATGATATGAAGTTCAATAATATATAGACAAAGGAACCTACATATCGGATTTTAAAAATGCTTCATAATAAATTTAATATTAATTTATATTAGGATTTTTTATAGTAATATTAATATAAAAATTTATAAAACTAAAATTAATTAAGATAATTTATATGATATATTTATAATTGTAAAGTATTTTTTTTTAAGATAATTTTTATAAAAATATCCAACAATCCAGGTAGGATACAATTTTATTAATGATACAGCGTTTAGAATAGATTATTAGGATTTTATCATGTATATAAAATAAAGCATATATATAAGCTTATTTATTATAATAGTCTTTTTTTAAAAAAAAAAATAATATTTGCTTATGTGTTTATCAAAATCTTATATTTATTTATAATAATTTACTGTTAGTTTATATGGGATAAAAATATTCCATTGGAAGTACCTTATTTAATTTGTTTTAAGAAAATAATAATAAATGTACTATAACTAATATTAATGACGCTAAAGAATATAAATATTGCATTTTATTTAAAAATAGTTTATTCATAATTTACAATATATGGTAAAAAATGAGTTTTATTCGCACTACTTAAAAATATATTATATTGAACATTTTTAAGATTTATGATTATATTATTAATGATTCTATAAAATTATATCTATGAAATCATGAATAATATATGAGATGTGAACGCTTAAACAAAATATATTTTAGCCTATTACTTTAACATTTGTAAAATCTTAATATATATATTATATAGTAATATAATATATATAAGACAATTGGTGAAAATGAAAAAAATATAGTACAACCTAGAACTAAAAAATTCCTTATAAGAATATTATTACATAATTCAGAGGTAATATAAAATGGAAATAATAAAATAATTTTATTTTTTTTTATATTAAAAATAATATTACATTTTACAAAATATAAATATATACTTAAAGACGGATGTGCGTTTAACTATATACAAATAATATGTAAGCGTTAAATCATGAGAGAAAATAAAATTACAACATTAATATTTATGTATGTATTACGTATTATAAGATTATTTTCTTTGTTATTCAATTATTCTAACTGATTTTAGTATTAATACAGTAAATGAAATGAATATATTAATCACTATATTTAAGATGCATTAGTATCCGAATATAAATCATTATAACGCGTATACATATAACTTAATATTTACATTAAATAACATTGGTGTTTTCATAAATATAGTAAATCATACTTCTTTAATATTCAGCATAAATTTCAATTAGCTATTTAATGCATATGATATATTAATTATTTTTTTCTTCATCTATATAGTAACAAATTGGTTAAGACGTAAAATATTACATGAGAATCATGTAGCAAATAAATTATTATAATGTTATTTAGGTTATGTTAATATATAATATCAAAACATACACCTTTCTTTATTAAGCAAATGACATTTTAAAGCATAGAAATTATATTTTTTTGTTTCATAAATCTTACATAAAAACTTATATGATGCATATAATTAACGTATAAATAATGTATAAATAAATGAGTTAACAAGCCATAACAATGTCATATTTTTTCGATGATATATTTTTTAAATTATGTATATATTAATATTGTTACATGTATATGTATGCCCTTTTATTAATTTCTTTTTAGTTTTTACATAAATTATTTTTCATATAAAAATTTTTATTTATTACGTAGAATGTAAAATATAGATGAATAAAATATTAAATCATTATATGTGAATTATTATTTTTCGTAAATTTTTGACGATCACATTACACACATTCGTTTAATTCATTAATGTATGATATCCATAATTTGAATAAATCAAATTATAAATATTTTTTGTGAATTTATTATACAGAATAAAGTAAAGACTCAATTTTTTTGCACAGCACACAATGAGAAAATATAATTTTTATTCTTATATAATATTTTTTTAATCATAAATAATTGAGTTATGTTTAAAATTTTTTGTTTTAAAATTAATTTTTCATTGAATAAAAAAATATTTTGTTATGTGCACATTTTTCTTTGTATAAATGTAACTTTTAATTAAAGTGAATTATTTAAAAATTATATTAGATATATTTTATTAATCATATTAACTACTAGTAATCACTATAATAACTTATAAAAATATTTCATTTTAAGTGTTTCATATATTCAGTATTAAATATAAGAATTATATTTTACAAAATATAAGTCTTTTAATAAAAACTTATTAACGTAGAAATAAAAAAAGTTAAACAGTACATACACATGTTAACACAGACTATTTATAGAAATATCAAATACATCTAGTTTTAAAATGCTTAATAAATTGAATAATAAATAGAATTTTCATATGTTAATTATTCAATAAAAATAAATTTACTTACTGATATATATGACTATTTATGATTTTTTTCTTAAACATTGCCATATATCTTTTTTTCTTTTTTTTTATAAAAATATATATTTTGTATAATCTGCAATGTAGATATTTTATATTAATCTATAAATAACTAACCAACCTAGCATTACATATATTATTTATATAAAAATGTATATATTTTTAATATATATTTATACTTAATATATTTTTATAATATAAAAATAAATCTCGTTGTTCAATAGACTACTATATAGAATGGGAATTTTGAATGAAAGTGAATTGGTGTACATTAAATATTTGAAATAGGAATTAATTATATAAAATATTTTTGAAATGGTGATTCTTGCTTTTCTCAATAATGTTCCTCATGTAAAGTATAATTTTTTATAATTTTTGCAATTCATATGTTCCTTTTAATTTTTAGAGTGACATATTAAAAAGCTTACCTTCTTATTCTATATATAATGAATTTGAGAATGGTGATATTGATTACAATAATGAATGCAACAACTTGCTCTCCGAAAATGGAGATGTTAAAAAACTGTGTGAACGTTTGCTATCATATATAAAAAGATCTCTTACTAATAAAGGTGGAAAAGTAGAGCATAAGATCTATTCATCACATTTGGCATATTGGACAATAGAATAGCTAAGCAAAATTTTTCATAGTAACTCTGATGGTAATTTCAGGAATATTATTGTTAAACTTATTAGTTTAGAAAATATATTAAATTATATAATAAACATTTATTCGCTAACTCTGATTTTGATTTTAATCTCTCTAAAGAAGAAAAACTTTTACATGACTATTTTTATAATTATGAGAATATAATTAAATGTGATCCAAATTGTCACATGTACAGTAAATATGTCGATTATATTAAAGACATATATTATTCGCATAGAGATTATTCTTTTTCCGTGGGATGCAACTATTTCAAAGTTGATAAAAAATACGATCCAGATGATCTGTCAACTAATTTAAGAGATAAGGTTATTGGAAATAATGATAAGAAAGCAATTTCCCATTCCAAAAGTATAACTAAAAAGCATTTTGTTCCTAATAATACCAATTCTAATATTAATATGATAATTAAATATATGCAGTGCACTAATGTTATTAATACAAACGAAGGTTTTGAGATAAGATGCTGTGAAGATCCGGCCTATAGAGAACACACAGAAAAAGGAATATTAAAAGAAAATATAAATAAAAAATCGATTTCTCATATTTCTGCTTCAGAATCTATAAAAAAAATAAATAATTTAAAATGTAATGTTGCTTATGATATTAACGATCCAAGTAAAACATTTGCCCATAATTGTAATAAAACAGAAGGTAGTTCATCATTAGTAAGCTCAAATTTAGGAAATCCTATTAATGATGAAGGAGAAAATAAGATAAACACAGACATGTTTTTAGACTCAAATATATTCATAGATAAATATATGGACTCTGAAAATATAATTCCAGGTGTTAAGCTTATGTCATCAAGACGAGACGTATCAGAACTCCGCATGTCGAAGAATACGATGAAGAGGAGGTTATATATAAACAACCTAAGATGAGCTATATAACAACTTTGTTTCCTGGAATTTCTGATGAAGTGCGTGTGAAATATAAAGACGATAGTGTGCCTATATGTAAAATTTATAAGGAACATAGAGGTAAAATACTTTGTATAAATACACCTAAACATGGGGAAACTCAAAGTTACACTCCATCAAGTAATGACATAGAAATAATAACTGCAAGAAAAAATGAAATAGGTGCTGTGTCTGCATACAATAATGATACATTAGACACTTTATTTACACGTATATTTATAATAATTGCATTAATAATTGGAATAATTTTAGCCCCTTTTTATTTATATTAAAGTAAAGAAAGATATCTTTAAGCTATTTAAAAAGTAAAGACACTATATGTAAATGATTTATTGTATAAATTTATGATTATAAATCCGTTTTACATATAGTATTTGCATATTAGTTTACACCTATAGGACCATACTTACGTAAGCACTTATTTAAAAAAAAAGAAATGCTTAATAATATTTATAAAAAAAATGTTCATGAGATGAGCTCATACACAAGTAAATCAAATAGGGGAAATACAAACAGGAATCAAGTATATATAGCCTATAAGATTTAATAATAAGACTTGAATTATATTAATATAATTTTAAAAATTATTATGAAAATATATACTCTAAAGATATATTTTTGCTTATATCCATAATAATTTAAAATACCAAAATAATATAACAAAAATGAAAGAGGTGCAAAAATAATATAGAATTTAAATAAAAAGTAATTAAATAATAATTCTAATGTGCTAAGAGTGTAAATAATTCAATATGAAATATATATATTAATATAACATAATTATGAAAAAACGAAATTTTGAAATTGAACATACATAATTTGATAATTATATGATAATGTGCAGAAATATCTATATCTTAAATAAATAATGAAAAAAAAAAAAATACTGGATACAAATTAGAAAATTAGTGTTATAGACAAATTAAAGAATGCATTTTTATTTTTAAAGAATAAAAAAATTAAAAATGGAAATTTTTAGAGAAAAAGATAACGTTTCTTGTAAAGACAACTTATGAAGATATAAAATTAAATAAAATTATGTGGAAATATATATCCCTTAAATTATGATACATGAGATAAAATTTTAATTATATAATATAATTAAAGCAAAAAAAATATATATGTATTTTTGTTTAATTCTTTGACACAAATATAATACTATATATTTTATTAATTCATCTCTTTTACATGTATATATATTTTTTTTCTGTAATTTTTTTTAAATAATACTACAAAATTGAAAAATTCACGTTTATAGCAAAAAAAAAAAAAAATTATTATTCAAAAGAAAAAGCGTTAAAATATTGATATTATTAGTAAAAAAATTCTATGCTTTTTCGAGGTTTAATTAATAAATGAAAGTTACATTTTGAATTATTCCTATATATTGAGTAATAATTATATTTATTTTAAAAAGTTAAACGAACTTGTTATTGCATAAGTATTCACTCTCAATTATTATATATTATTATTAAATATAAAATAAAAGACGTTAAAAGTAATATTATTACAAGATTAAAGAAAATTCATTAAAAATAAAATGGTTTGAGCATATTTATAACTGAATCCAGAAATAAATTATATATTAAATATAAAATAAATATGCACGTTTAAATTTTTTTTTCTGTCAAAATGCTCCAACTTATATAAATCATTGATTTTGAAAACATATGTTTTGTTTGATTAATATTGTTCTGTAAAACAAAAATACATGAGGAGTGAAATATAACATAAACTACAACAAATATATTTAATTAAAAAAACTACCTTATAAATATATTTATGTAAATATTACGAAAACAGATATACACATATTACTGCTATAGAGAGTACTACTGAATAATATACCTGGAACATTTTTAAATTAAGAAATGATAAATAGAAAAAATTTTCAAAAATAATTGTATAAAATGTTTCATATAATATAATTAAATATATTAATAATGATTATAATATCATATGTTATTGTACTCACAAGTAAAATAAATTAAGACATAATATTTAAATTAAATAATGATTATTATTAAAAGTGTGTTTTTTATTATTATGGTATATATGTTGGATAATCTATATTTATTGAATCTATAGATATATAATAATATTAATAATAAATACTTAACTATTGCTATAAATTTGTTATATTGTTTACATTTTAAATATATACATATGCAATTTCAATACGTAATATTTGCAAAAAATATAAAAGTAAATATTAGTATTATACACAAAATGAATTTCTTATACTATATATATTATCTACATTGTAAAAAATAAAATTTTAATACATAATTCCTAATATAAAAAGTAAACTTTTTCATGTAGAATAAATAATTACAATGTATTTATAAGAATTTCATTTTGTACAATATTGTCTAAAGTTTTTACATTAATAGGTTAGCATTTATGGATGAACATTACTAAATCAAATATCTACCAAAAACAATACTAATAATAAAAATTTGTATAAATAAATAGTTATAATGTATATAAGGATTTTTTATTAATTTTATTTGATATAATATTTTTCTATATATATTTTTTTCTTTTTAACTTCATATGTATGTATTTTTATCTATTGCATACTTCACGTCTTCATAATAATTATGGCTCTATATTTTATATGTATCTGTTTTTTTATTTATTCTTTAAAAATAATGATTTAGTTAGTATAATTATTTTCTATAATATATTAGTGATAATTATATTGCTTATTTCTTTTTTTTCTTTTTTTCATAGTTATTGGCTGCTTGTTTCTAGGACATATTTAAATTTTTTTTTTAATATTTTATATATATCTATAAATACGTATAAAATGAAAAAAAAAAATTTGCATAAATATTGTGAGTGCTTTTTCCTTAGAAACAAGTTATGATAATTAAAATTTTTTTTGATGAATTTATAGACAACTAAATTTTTATTGTATATATTTAATTCATCTGATTGAGTTGAGCAATGATCATGTATTATAATTTAATGTATCCTTTTTCCTTAAGCCTTTCACTATAGAAATAACGATTATAAGAATAAGAAAGGTATATATAACTAATCTATTATTATGTATAATAATTAGAATGATTGTAGTAAAAAATATACTTTATTTATAATTACTCTGCAAAACTTTGTTCAATTTTTAATTATCTATATGTTCTCAATGCAAACATGCTAATTATAATTAAAATGTTTTTTCTAAATATATGATTCATTAAATAATTGATTTAAAAATCTATACATATAAATAGAATACATTTTCTGTTACACTACCTAAAATATAGGTATATAATATTAATATAAAATGTTATACATCTATACAATAAATATATTAAAAATATAAGTACATGTAGGAGTTGCATCCATTGGGACTTCCTAGTTATACTTGTTACACTGTGTATGATATGTTTTATTTTTCTTTAATTGGTATCAGTAATATATGTAAACGACTGAGTTTGCTGAAACATTGCCCTTTATAAGATATTATTAGTATAAAATAAAATAGATATACATCTAATAATTTTTTACATAAAATATATCCTTACATGTATAATGTGTCATAAAAGAAAATAATCCACATAATCACTCATTTAATAAATTAAATGGCAAAAACTTATTCCACCTTATGAAAAAAGCACGGGCTTATATTTTGTAATAAATATAATCTCTTATGTGTATTAAAATAGAATAAATACATAAAAAAAAAAAAAAAATAAGTATATTATACGAAAATTTTGTAGATAAATATGTAAAACGTAATCGCACATATTATTAATTTGCGTTCATTTTATGTTCTATACATAAAAAACACATTAGAAAAAAAAAACTTATCATTACATTTTTAAAGGAGATAAATATTCTTTATCCCATGAATAATATTTTATTATTATTACGAATGCTATAAAATTCTCTCATTTTAATATAGCGTATTAGTATTATTTCAATATATAAACATATAATTTCAACTATCATGTATATATTTATATCATCAAAAATTATTCATACATATAATTATAAATATATTAATTAATGTGTTTATGCAGCTATAATAATTGTCTCTCGATAGATTTCATTTATTCCAATATAGCATTTTTTCCATAATTTAAAATATTTATATATTATTTTACATATTTTACTGCATTATTTAAAAGGAAAAAAATTTTCTAAATAAATCATGGATATAAATTGTATTTCTTCAAAAGAATTTTCATATTGATATTTCATTAGTTTTCACAAATTATTGAGCACAAAGAATAAGAAAGGATCATTTGATTATTCAATATGTTAGTAATAAACAAGTAAATATATCATCATGTTATTAATAAAAAAATATGTTCATATGTTTATAATAGCATTTATTAATGCAGTTATTGAAAAATTAATGCATAATTATGTGCTTATATATATAAAAAATATATATAACATGTATAAGGAAATACAATTGTATATTCCCAGTAATTAATATATTTCATTAATGAAGAAAAACTAATTAGGTTCATAAAAATTGTTAATTTTTATTGAGCCTATGTAATATAAAAATATTCAATTATGTAAAATATGTTGTACTCGTTTTCGCCTAGTTAATAAATAAAAATTTTATTTATTCAGAAAATGTTTTTTAATACGTAACTTTCATTGTTAATTATTTTGCTTTTTTGGGTCAGATGTTTATCTGCTTATAATTATATAGCATACATTGAATGCATAAATAATCATTTCTTAATAATTAAGTTATCAGCACTGTGAAAATTTTATAAAATATATATGCTCGAAAGAGCAATGAAAACTTTCGTTATATTATAATCTATTTTTTCAACAGAAGAACATAAATGTTTTTCTTTTTTTCACATTGTAACATTTTCATTTAGAGTAATGATAAGTTATAAAATTAATAAATATGTGAATAATAAAAAAGGGAATATTAAATATAAATAAAGCCATGAGATTGAAAATATACATAAAATGTACAGAATTAAACAATAAATTAATGTATTAAATTTTGGAAGTTTTAATTCTTGAAATATGAGTCATTAGTATTTTTACCATTTATCTTATAACAAAAATATACTTATATAATAGAAATATTAAAATTCAGTACGGTTGTCAGATATAATAGATAAGAATAGTTTTTTCATAATGTTAATATATTCGTGTATAGGTTTCTATCTTATTTTTCAGAAATAATACATATTATATTACAAATATTTTAAAAATATATGTAGATAAGTGAAATCTTAACTTAAATTGCACCATAAAAAAATAGGAAAAATTATTTAATATTAAATAATTAAAATTTAATATTTATCATATATGGTTAAATCTGATGAAAATTTCCACATATATTTTCTAAAATTTCTGGCATTATTACATAAAAATAACGAGAAATTTAAACATTGTACGATATTTACCATTAATTATTTTATGTATCATCATTACAATAAGTTATATATAACAATAAAAAAATGAAATAAATAACAAATAAAGTATAACTATATATATATATATTCTTATTTATATCACATGTATTCATTATATATTTTTTTTATTTTAAGTATTAGCAATATTGCACAATGAATATGTAGATTTATTCCATTTATGTATTATTTAACTAAATTATATAATTCTATATTTTTTCTAAACGCATTTACATTTTTCATTATATAGTTAATATAACTATGGAAATGCATTACAAATCTAATATGATCACTATTATATGTTAATCTGTACAATAATATATTATGATGCTATTGGATGATATATTAATATAAAAAAAAAAACAGTTATTAATATTTATTCATCCATTACGTTATTATTATAAAAAACTGATACATGCTTTTTAATAAATTTGATTATTTTATTTTTTTAACATACAACATATTGTATTACTTTATCAGATGGAGGAATCATTTGTACATTTGAATAATTATAATATATATTACACCATATTCACATTCTTTAATATAATATACTTTATAAATATATTAAATATATCTTAATTATAATACAATATTTATCGTAATTTTATTTTTTATATTTTCTAGTACAATAATTTTCCTCTTTTTTCCATGTATAGGGAAAACATAGATAAAAAAAAAATCTACATCAGGCCTCCGTGGTATGTGGTATGATAAATGTAATGAGGGCAAAGACATTTTAAACAAATTTCCTTCAAATAGTATTAATACGTGCACTCAAGATTTGGAATATTTAGCTGAGGCACAAACATTAGAAGAGAGTACTTTAAGAGAACCAGCCTGAAATTATTTTTATTATTGGTTATCTCATAACTTTAGGAAATAAATACTCTTATGGATATCACAGAAAATTATTATAAATTACTGAATTTATATTTTGTTAGTCTTGGGAGTAACTATATGCACGTATGCGTTACACATAATGATGCTCTTGCAGAAAATGATTTACAAATGCTCAAAGAAACTCACGACATGTATGAAAAATTCAATAAAGTTTATTGGAATGATGCATCAGATACAAATATTAGGAAGAAAAACCTTTTTGTAGCAACAAGTGAACTTTTATATATATATCAATCCAAAAACAAGTAAAGTAATACTATAAATTGTGAATAGCAAGTGTCTATCCCTTGAAGATGTAATATTGTATATACTATTATAACTACAATTGTTGTCATATTATTAATATACATTTCATTATTTGTACTTTATAAGTTTGATCCTATTATATTTATATATGTAATAATATTTTATTTTAAATAATTTAAAAAATATAACTTTATTATAATACATAATTACATACATACACGAATGTTCTTTATCTATTATGGTTTAGTTCACAACACGTGGTTCAATTTTGCTGCATATTATAAAAAAAAAAAAAAATCCTTCGTATAATATAGATGAAGAAATGAAATGATATCAAGAATTTGCAGCGTTAAGTGATTCAACAAATGAGAACAGATATAATATATTATATCATTCTCCGTAATATCAGTATTAGCTATATTATATGAAAAATATAATTATTTTAATCAAGATATAAAGCATTATAAGAAAATAATTTGGCCAGAATATCTCCTAATAAACTAAAATTAATAAGAAATTATTTTTATAATGCCAAAAGAGATAACAAAGCATAATTTTATTTAGTCAGATTAAAATATTATGGACAAAGAATAAAATAGTATGAATATATTTTTACTTTTTTATTTTTTTATTATTATGTAGATTATATAAAAAAATATCTTTAATATATATATATATGAATATTATAAATAATACAATAATATATTATGCAGTAAATTACAGTAATTATGTAAAAATTATGAATAGTATTATCAACTGAATACACACAACATAAGTTATTTATATCTATGTTACGCTAATTCGTTATAGTATATCATTTAAAATTTCATATAAAATTATTTTAGAATGATATTTATAATTAAATTATAACTACATTTGATATTGTAATTTTTTCATTTATTTTAGTCTACGCATATTATGTATCTACATTTATTGATACGAATATTAGAAATAAAAATATATGTGTACCCTAATGTAAATGAAAGGAAGCAAATTATATAATATCATTTAATTATTAAAATTTTTGGCTTCGTATTTTTACTTATTTTATAGAAATTAATCCATTTTTCTTAGTGTTTAAATTAGTCCAGAAAAATTTTATAACATATGTAATTTCATCTTATATTGCTATGTTCATACATATGCATTGAATGTAAAAAAAAAAAAAAGAGCTACCAGTGATAACATGTTTGTAAAAAATTACAACATAATGAATAAATAAATTGCTGTTTATAAAAATGACATTATCTATAAAAATTTAAATTAAATTAATTAAAATATTTGGATTATTCATATGAAAAATTATATTCGATTTTAGAAATATGTTAGACAGTCAAGCGAAAAACATAATGTCCATAAAATTTTTTTAAAAATTATATTTAAAGAATTTTATTATTTTATTTTTATTTTCTTAATGTCTTTGTTGTATAAATTTAAACTACATAATTTTGGAATTGTTAAAACCTCATACATACGTATATCTGAATCCCATGTTTATCTTTTGCACTATAAATCCCAGATGTGTTCAAAACGCTGTTATTTTCTTTTTGATAACTACATGTCACAATTATTTCATATTAATTTATTCTACATTCAACCATAACTGCTTTTATTTAGAAAAATTTTGTGATCTGTTAATTATAAAAGAAGTAAAATCCCAAATATATGGAAATTTGTGTTTATAATTTTGTAAAGATACATTTTAACTAAATTAATAACCGTGATAAGATAATAGGTTCTATCTATAATAAGGGTTCATATTTCCTTTATCAATTCAAATGAACATAATAAATTAAAATCATCAAATGAAACTACAAATACATGTATTTACATAGTTGTCCTTATTTCTTAGCTTTTTTATCATTCTGGTATTATAAATATTTCTTAAAAATAATTTTCTGTTTATAATATGTATATATTTATGGGTATAAATTTATTTTATTATTGCATAACATTCAAAATATAAATATGTTCACAATATATACATATTATTATTTCGTAGATATATATATGAGAAATATTTTTTTATATATTTGTTAATATTAAAGAATAAATATGTAAAGATATGGTACTACTTGAGGGGTCTTATATGTGATTCCTTTATAATTATATATATATACACAATTTGTTTTTGTATTTGCTTTTATGCAAATATACACTGAAATTAATATATATTAACTTCCCTATGAAGGTGTTTTTCACACATATATTAAAAAATAAATATATATTTCTATTTTATAGACAAAAAAATAAAGTTTTTTTATATTTATTTTTATATAAATGAAGACAGAACATTTTTTCATATTTAAAGCACCAAAAAATTTTATTGTTTATATAATTTTTGCTAAATCATTTTTAATGAAGATCAAATACACTTCATGCGAGGAATGGAGAAACAGAAATTTGTGATGAAATTATCTCATTTTTCGGAACACAGATTTCTTTTTGCAATCAGTAAATAACGTATATATATATTTTGTATATTATGCATTTATAAGAGAAATACTAATATGAGAATTAATTAGGATAAGTATATTAAAGTAGACAATATATATTTTAAATATAAAATATAATTCTATATATCATTCTTAGTTTTTACAACCATTTATTAAGTGATATGAATACTAAAGAAAATATATATTATGTCGTGCAAATAACATTTTGCGAATTTACATATTTCACATAATTTATATAGTTATTTTTTATCTCATTATAAATTAAAGATAAAATATATATTTTTTTATTATATTTATTCAAACTGCACACATGCATAGAACATTGTATGAATGTATTATATAATTTTATGAATATATTTTACATTAATTATAACAAAAAGGTTCTTTGCATAAAACAAGTATTTAAAAATGAACAAAAATGATAGCATAAATAAATTATATTTTATAACAAATGATCCTTCATATATTAGCGTAATATGTGTAAGGTAATTTCACACCTTAATATCATAAAATTTTTTGCACATAATATTCATAGAAAAAATATATATAATATCAATCACTAGAACAAATATAATTCTAAATAATTAATTACATGTTTACTAAAAAATTGTATATGTGTTCTTCAGTAATATATTAAAAGATATTGATATAATATGAAATTATTCATAATACACTATTATAATCAATATATCAATTTATAATTTCCTTATTTATTACTAAATTATACTACAAAATATATTAGAATTTCATATATAATGTGCACCTATGTATTTTAAAAAATTTTTTCTATTAAATATGCAATATATAAAAAGAATGTTAACATTATATTTTTTCTATTATATTTATACCGATTATTTATTATACTAGCAATAACATTTTGAATGCTATTATGGTATATATTTAGGTATATTGTATTATTAGACTAGAGAATTAACAATTATTTTTTTTTACTATATCTATTAATAATTTAATATGTTTTAGATTTTTTAAAAGAAAATTCTCTATATCTCCTATGTTTGTATTTTCTTAGTTTTTTAAAATCTACTTGCACTTATTCGTGTGACATTTTATAGTAAACCTAGGTAGAATGATATAATATATTACATATTCTATCCGTTGATGGATCTAATGGGTCCAATATACTAAATACTTCATTAATATTATTATACTTCCTTCGTAACCATATATATCCTTTACACAGGTAGGCACCGTATGGTGTGAACTAATTCATAAAAAATAAATTTATTTATAACACGTGTATTTTTTTATAATAAAATTTGTTTTTACATTATTTAGAAGAAGAATGTTATATATATATGTGCAATTAACCTTAAACACAATAAATAATAAAAGTGACAATATTAATATTATAGTAACTGTAGCTACAATTGGTTTTAAATTATTATTTATAATTGAAGATTGTAAATGTTCTCGAAGATAACTATCATATCCCAATTTTATTGTTGTATAGTATTTTTTAGAATTTTCCAAAGCTTTGCAGAAATCACTGGTATTATCATTTTGGCAATTTTCTTTTTCCTTTTTACATATACTAGTATATTCAAGAGAACAATCACTATTAATATGATCGGAAGTTGAGTTATTAGGTTTCACCTTATGCAGACATATATATAGATCGTATAATTCCTTTAGTTTTATAATATCTTCATCTGTCATAGGATTATTACATTCCTGGTTAATAATTTTTACCTTATGATTAGTATTGTATACATTCAGAATCTCGTTATATATATTATTTATTGTTGTACCTTTATTTTTCTTAAGTAGAGGATTTATATTTAACCAATAATAGAGATATTTACATCCTACAGATTTTAATGGATCATCAGGATAATAATATATTTCAAACAAATATGGAAGTGCTTGTGCGCACAATTTTTTAATATTAGATATATTATTTCTAGCATTTTCTAAATCAATTTTGTCACAATATCTTTTCCAGATTTCTTCATCAGCATTTCTACTTTTTTCTATAGAATCTTTACATTGAGGAAATAAACTTACATATCCATACTAAAAAGAAATAAAAGTAATGAATTCATTATAAAAATAAGATTAAATGGAAAACATTTTTTATCCTTTCTAGATATGTAATAATAAAACCGAATATTATTGTAATATATACTATAATAATTCAAACAACAATTGATTTCTCCATCTGACATAAAATAGTGTGAACTTTCTGTTGATGTATATAATATAATTCAATCTATAAAAGTAATATATCCATATTTAAAAATAAAGACACATGGAGACTATATGATTCAGGATACATTTTTTAATAGTAGAAGAACTCGTATAAAACTATTATCTATATAAATGACCATAGATATTTATGCAGTTTAAAGTATAATGGCCATCATTAGTGATATGTTATTTATTTTCATTACTATTTAAGATATAAAACCAAAAAATAAATAATTTATTTAAAAAAAAAGAGAGGTAATGCTTTATTGTGTTTAAATATATTGTTAAATATAAAGTGTTATAATAAATGCTTTAATCTTTAGAAATACATTAAATAAAATACATTATCCATATTAATATTGTGTCTTTTTATTTTGTATATATATATAACTAATTTTTTTTATGCTATATTATATTCATTAAGGTATCAAATAATTAAATATAAGAATAAAAAATTTTACATTAAATATAAATTAGATGAACTGGTTCAAAATATTCTCTATATGCAATAATAAATAATAGAAACTTACTAAAAATCGTCATCCTAAATTATATAAATTATATCTAAATCCAATTCAGAATATAATATATTATTATGAATTTTATATAATATATTTGCAATTGTTATATTTAGAGTATTCCGAGACTATTATATCATTACATATATATTTAAATAAATAATAACTATACATACGTTAAATCATACATTTTAGAAAATAATGTATTAATTCATTTTTTTCATTCGGGATTAATCGAATGTATATTATTACATATGCTTCTATATTTTTTTTTCGAGTATTAGCTCAATTATTATTGTATTTATGCAATAATATAAATGAATAATTTCACATTTTACATTAAAAACATGCGCGCATTATATATATAAACGAAAGTAAAGTGATTAGATAACTTTTAACATATTCAAGTATAATATTGTATATTCCATTTCATATATGAATAATCTATTTAAAATCTAATATGCATAGTATAGCAATATATTATAAATGAATATTGGAAAATAAATCATTACAACTCAAAATGTAATTTATTTTTAATTACAATATTTTTTATTTTTAAAAATAAAACATAAAATTGATTATATATATCATAAATTATTTATTTCTATATTATATAAATTTAAATGAAATTATTAATTATTTTACAATCTAAGTTATTCTATGCTGATGAACTTGTAATAATATTTTTGAGAAAAAGAACAGTTCATAATTAAAATCCATGTATATTTTCACATATATTGTAATATAATATAAAATATATATTAATGAATTAATATTATTTCTCGATGGAAGTGCATTGATATAATATATAATATCAATACTTATAATGTATCATATATAAATTTTATATTTTAAAATTTGAATGAATGTCTTGTTTATTGAAATTATATTCATTTTGTGGAAGTATGTTTATAATTATTTTTTTATTATTCATTTATTAAGGTACATAATTTTGATTATAAGTTTTATGGACATTAACCAAGATATAGAATTTAATTTACTATAATATATTTTCTAATGTATTAGAAAAGTAACACTGTTTTCGGCGTTAATATGTTTTGTGGAAATCTGAAATATAATATTAATTTTCGCCATAAATAAATATTATCTTTAAATTAAATATTATATTACACTATTTTTTTTATGGATTAAATTTATACAAATGTTATTGTTATTTCTTATATTATTAAATAAATTATATGTTATACATATTACTTTTGTAATCTTTTTTCTCCATGAATTATATTAAATGTTAATTATAATTACAAATGAATAATATATATAAATATATATAGAATATATAAGTAATTATGAACAGAAATTATTATACATAAATGAATTATAATATAATTTATTACAGTGTGGATATAATAAAAAATTAAATTTGGACACTTGTGCTCTCCTTTGCATTATTAGATAAAGTACATTTCTTAAAATAAATTATATATTTGTAAAAATATATACAGGTATAATTAATAAAAAAGTTTTTTTTTTTTTTAAACAGATTGTTATTCTGCTTATGGATATTTTATATAATAAAAAGATAAGATATATATGGACAAAATATAACTAATGCATATAAAAACATAAAAAGAACTATATGGAAATAATATTATGTTTTGTCTTTCCTTTATTAATTTCATTTCTAAGAATAAAATAAAATGCAATGATTTAATATATTGGATATATATTACTGAAGTTCGTTATAACGGTAATTCAGCGTAAATAAAGTATCATTAGGACACTTGAAAAATGGGGTTATGTTTACTACGATAGTTTCATGATATATTTATTGAGAATTTCATTATCCTAAGTGGCATATTAATAATTTTTTTCTTCATAAATTTTGTAATATATAAGCTTATAATAAAAGATAAAGACTAGATTAACAGAATTGTATCTATGAATCAGTAAATATGTTTCATTATTAAATATCTGTAACGTGCTTTTTATATGACAAAATATAAATCCTGATACTTCATATAGGCAAAAATATACAATTAATTAAGAACGCCTGTGTCAAATATTAAATATATTATTTATAGTAATGACTATTTTTTTTTTTTTTTGGACTTTCTTCCTATTTTTAATACAATTATAAATATAATTTACTACAATCTTAATATGAATAAGATACATATTTGCAAATTATATCTATTTTAAGACATTTCTCATATTCATAATAGAACAATATTCTGTTACATACACACTTTTAATACCTATGTAAACACTCATGCGTACATTCGTATAAAAAATATTTGTATATATTTGTAATAAAATTTAAGTATAAATATGTGCTTAGATTGTTCAAATAAGTAGATATACTCATGTTTTTTATTGTGTCTATGTTTTTCCTTTTATTTGTTAGTAATTATTGTTATGCTTCTATACAAATAAAAGACATTATATTGAGATTCTTATGCGACTATGTTAAGTATATTAAATAAAATATAGATAACTATTTTTGATTGTAACAACAACTAATAAAAGTTAATTCATATATAATCAAATTTAATTCAATAATAAGTTAATATATATTTTTTAAAATAATTTAAAAACTGTATAAAATTGTTTTTGACAATGGTGATATAATTTAAGTAAAATCCAATAATATTGCATAAATAAAAACAGTAAGCACGAATATATAAAAATTTACTATTTCCTTTGTAAAGAAATATTAATTTTTGATTTTATCCATTGGTATAACTAAATTATCCATATATTGTATATAACTAATATATATATTAAAAAATAAAAATAATAGTGTTTATCGTTTTCTATGTATGTTTTAGAAGTTATTTTTGATATTAAATATAAAATATTGTTATGGGAATTATTTCGTTTTTTCATAAATGTGTATAATATAATATCAAGTTCTCTAAAGTTTATATATATAGTGTTCAAATGTAACAAATCTGTTTTTCATAATTAATATGTTTAATGATTTTGCATCTATATACATATTAAAAAATATTTGCGTTATATCATATTATTATTTGTACTACTTATATTTATGGAATAATATATTCCAGTTAAAAATATATTACAAGAATATTCCACAATAGTGAAAGTAATAAGCAAAAAGATAATTAATAATTAATTAATTATATACATAAAAAAACAGAAAAAAATATATAACAAAAAAATGATATATCACAACATATGTTTTTCTACATAATAACAAAATTTACATATAATAAATTTTCATATATTAATATAATAAATATGGGAATTCAAAAAATACTATTATTAAAACATAGAGAATGAATTGTAGAACAAATTTATTTACTAATAATTTATATATGTGTTTATTTAAAAAATTAAAATGTATTTTTCGACAATACATTTTTATAATATAGTATGATATATATAGAAATTAATTACACTATATGCATTCTATTATAAATCCAATTTTTACATACAGGCACCTTGCTGGTTAAACACATATATTTTCTCATTATCATATTTATAAGTTATTGATCTTTAATACAAAGAAATATAGTTAATGGAAACTGGGTTATATTATAACAGGACAAAAACACGATTATTTATAGTTTTATGAGTTACTATTTATAGAGAATTAAGACGTTATTTTAAAAAATTATTTTCCTATTTATTTTAAAGTATTATCATGTTTTATTGAGAAAATAATATACATTTTATTCTGTTCTGTGAATTATCATATTTTTGTTGGAAAATATTATGAGAAACGTGCTCACATTATTTGTTTAATATTATTTGTATATGTTTTAATTATATAGATATTTTTGGTTGTAAATATATTGATAATATTATACAGAATTATATAACATACTATATCTGATATTTCTTGGAATATGATTGATCTTATGAGAAGATTGCAATATGTTTTTTTCTTCACTCATGTTCTTACATATATCCCTTTTCCTTATTTTTACACGGACAAATCATAAAAAATCAGGGGTGAACTAATCATTAAAAAAAAATTAGGTTTTAAAAATATTACATTTAAAATTTCTTCCTTAAAATATGTAGGAAAATTATTTTATAATATAAATATATATATAATGTAACAATTAGCCTTAAAGAGAATAAGTAAAAATAATGATATTATTGTTATTACAATAATTGGAATTAAAATTGAATGTGGCATATTATTTTTTTTGGAATAAAGTTAAAACATGATATTCAAGATCATTACAACTTAATGTTTTTACTTTATCATTATATTGATTTCCTAACTCTTTTAATGCACTGCAAAAATGCTTATTGCCCTTTGAAACATATGTTTCTTCGTATTTCATGTATAATTTGGCACATTCCTTGGCGTAATTACATTTTTTCATTTCATTATTTTGAGTATTATCATCCATATTTCTAAGCTTAAAGCTCAAGATATATATGTATAGAAGTTTTTCTATTATATCGTCGGTAATATTTCTCCGATAATATTCGCATACAGGATCATTGCTTC